GGTTTAGCCTCCCTGTGCCTTTGCGGAAAGTCTCGAGACCCTAAAAACCGGATTTCAGTACACGTAGTGAGCACAGTACAGATAATACGTTGTAGCTTTGTGCTAAACAACAAACAAAAGTATTATGCTTTTTTATATAATTTTATACTGGAGAGTAGTTTGTGATGCTACGAAATCGGTAAAATAAAAAAGTTTTGCAAACCTATATAAATATCATAATACTATCTGTCCACATAATTACTTCACAGGGTGTGGTTGGATCTTCACCAAAATTGGTTGGGGTTTCATGAGGTCCATACAGATTTTTAGTTTTGCATTTTGCGATTAATATGGGCGTTTTTACCACTACTTCGCTCCCTGTAAATGGATCTTCATCAAATTTCGTATGGAGGTTCATTGGGACTATGGGGAGATACATACAAATTTTCAGTTTTGTATTTTGCGGTTTTCATGGGCGTTTTTTACAATTACCTATAAGGGAAGCAAATTTTCATGTAGTTCCGGGGACGGGTACTCCAGCTAGTAAATAACAATTTAGTAAAAAGGAACGGATTCAAGTTTTCTTATATTCATCTTGAAGTGAAACCATCTTGAATTATACTACGCACGCGTACACACATACATACATATTGTTACGACAGCGGAAGTCACGTGACGCTGGTAACACGTCATGAGATTCTCGAACGATCTTGACTTTTCCTGGCAACTCTAGTCTGTTCTAGGCGCCCTCTTTTTTTGTATATAAGCCCGGGAAATAAAACGGAGATAAGATTGCAGATAGATAGATATAGAGACAGATAATCGAGTCAAGCGAGCAGTAGTCAACAGAAGTAAAGTGTGTGAATCGCTGTGATTTATACCGTGTGTTTATAAAAGTAGTTAACTTTAAAGTGACTGTAGAAATTGATGTAACGAGAAAGAATAAACTAATTTTAATCAAGAAAGGACTTGTATCGCTGAAGTTTCTCGGAAAGTTTTCTACGGGAAATTAAGAAACAAGCAGATGCGTAACAAATTGGTGTCAGAGAATGGGTCGGGGGGAAAAAAAGACGAAAATGGAAATGAGAGGTGGCAAATCAAACTACAGCTTAGCAGATTTGATGGCAACAATACAGGAACAGCAAAAGAAACAAGAAGAACGAGAAAATAAACAAGAAGAGAGACAACAGCAGTGGCAAGAAAACCTGTAACAGTGGCAGCTCGAATAGCAAAATAAACAAGAGAGATTACAGCAGTTGTTGGAGGAAAAAGAAAAGAAACAAGAAGAACGAGAAGAGAAACAAGATGAAAGACAACAGCAGTGGCAAGAAAACCTGCGACAGTGGCAGCTTGAACAGCAAAATAAACAAGAGAGACTATAACAGTGGTTGGAGGAGAAAGAAAATAAACAAGAAGAGAGGTTACAGCAGTGGCAACTGGAACAAGAAAGGAAACAGGAAAAAAAGTATCCAACAGTTGCAGGAAAGTCACCAGCAACTACAGAAAAGTCAAAAACAGTGGCAAGAAGTACAAATGGAAAACATCAGTAAATGTCAAAATGAATTAAATACATTAAAGGATGATTTACTGTCTTTTACACAAGAATGACATATTAGCCATGGACCTAATCAGCCCCAGACAACGGGAAGCCCATTCCAGACCCCGCAGCTAAACCCTAAAGCGGACATCTTCAGTCCTGTTAGATGTCACATCCCAGATATGAATGTCAGCAATAGGGGTGATCCAGTACGAAGGAAGCCACGGGAATTCGATGGGAAGGCACCGTGGGAAGCATACAGAGCACAATTTGAGTTACTGGCAGAAATGAATGGGTGGACAGAGGAGCTGAAAGCAGTATATCTGGCAACGAGCTTGAAGGGACAATACTTGGACAGTTGTCAACAGACGACAGGCACAACTATAGAGCACTGGTAGTTGCTCTATAACTCAAAATCAGTCCGAGGTCTACAGGGCTAGGTTTAGGACTAGAGTCCGTGCTAAAGGGGAGAGCCTACAAGAGCTGGCACAGGATTTGGAAAGTATGGCACACAAGGCCTATCCAACTGCACCACCCGATGTCCTCAAGTTGTTGCTGAGGGATCAGTTTGTAGATGCCTTGGACAGTCCACAACTGAAGATACAAGTAAAGCAAGCACACCCCTCTATGTAGGATGCAATGGCCAGAGCTCTTGAATTCGAATCCTATTTTAAGTCCAGCACAGAGGTACCAAGGTTGGTACAGTCATCAGGATTCAAGGCCAGAAAAGGGCAGCTTTCAGAGAAAGTTAAGGGACTTTGCTGCCACTGTAACAAACCAGGGCACAAGAAAGCTCAATGCCGGCAAC